AATCTGAAATCTTAATTATGTAAATATTTCACTAAAACTATTTGAAAATATAATTGGTGTTTGGTGATTTAGCAAAATATTTATGTGAAAACACTTGAGAACATATCAAGGAGAGTAACACTGTCCAAAAGAAGCAATAAAAGCTTTCTATTAAAGGGATGAGCGGATAAAAAGAGAGTGTGTTCCTCTGTGTTATAAAATATTTGATGAGCTCTAACATGATTCTGTTTAGATTTGGATCCCAAAGACTGGGATTTGGTTCATCTCCTCTGTCCCTGACAGTTCTCAATTTGATCATTTTCATGCACACCATTCCTATCTGTGTCTGTACATCTTCCAACAATAACCTCCTTGTAGCTATATTCTAGAATGGTGAAGGCTCATTTTATAAAATACAGTAGCACAGATAGCAGTAGAAAAGAACTGTAATCAATTGGTATTACAAGCTTTTAAATGGCAATACTGTAAACATGTTCTTCAGCCTAAGTTCCTCTTCCTTTTCTGTTCTTTGTGCTCAGAGGAAATTGTAGCCATTTTTTTTCCTCCTATAGAAAGAGGCTTCTCTGAAACTCTTCCATGCACTGACACCTCCTCTGCTTCCTATCAGATTCAACGAACAATAATCTCTTGGCTTACTCTCTTCATCCTGTCACTATCAGGTGTGATCGTCACCTGGCTGTGGTGTTTGAGATGGGGCACTGCATCAGGGCCCTGGTCCTGAACAACAGAGATGAAACAGATGTTGCATTCAAACAGAAGGGCCTTCTTTGATGAGTGAAAGAGGAGAATAATGGATTCAGGGTGATGTTTCCATCATTATTGTTTCCCTCTGTGCAATGCGTCGTCTACAGGCTCAAACCAAGTGGAAGGAAGAGTGAACACCTGGGTTCTGATGAAAGGGCAGCAGTACTGCTAGACGATGATCGCAGACTCTGTGGACAGCCTTCCCATAGATGTTGGTGACGCTGCACAGCATGAATATGACATGCTTAAAATGCTGGCTCTCAATAATCACGCCTTTGAATGTGCTCGACTTGCAGTAAATATTCTATAGGTTTCATTTTGCTATAATTAATGTTCCATGAACAGTTTGTCCCAGTAGTGGGGACTTATGTGACAAGCTGAAGAAAAAACATCAGTATGGATGCTTTGTGTAGAAATGCCACCAAGAAGACCACACAGTATAGAAATCTTCAAACAAGACAAACATGAACACATTTACCCCACAGCCCATCTGCTCACCATATATACTGCCGAAGGAAGCATGCATGTCTTGCGCATTCCACTTTCCAGATGCAACAGAACAAGTCCACAGTAAAAGTATGTGAAGGACAAATGATGACAGTTGGGACTTAAAGATGAAGGATTGCGTCTGGGTTAGTGAAAATATGTTAACTGATTTTCATATGCTCAAATATGTTCTATGATCTATGATTCTGAGAAACATATCAAGCCTTAATAATGACTAAAAAATACTTGTGAATAGTAAATTCATAAGCCAAGTTGTTTCTCTCACCCAACTGTGAGAAATCAATTCCCTTCACCATGAGAGTCCATCACATGTTCCTTGCTGGTGACACCTCTCTGTGGGCTCTGTCACTTTTGAGACCCAATCTGGTCTATAGTAATTTCCCCCTGCAGTTCCTCATAGGGAATGTCCAAAGAAACAGGACTCATTTGTGTTCAGAAAAATCATCTTGGCAAGGAAATCACCTTGATGGCACCAAAACCTGTAGCTGTTTGTTTGCACAAGACAAGGAGATACGGAATTGATTGAAGGCAGGAGTTTCCTAGTTCTTGTGAAACAAATATTTCCCTGCTTGCAGAAATTATTGAGCAAGCATGTGCTGTCTTCTCTCATCCCTTCTTCCTATGGACTCAAAGTACCCTCCTCACTCGGGAGCCTTGGCCATCCAATGGGATGAAAGGAAGCCCCAAGATGGTCTTCCTATTCTAGATGTCTGGGATAGTTTTTTCTCCTAGGGCTGCTGAGTGGGATCATTCTTGTGGGCCACATCTGAACTTTTCCTGTGTTGCTGATGTGCCTGTTAGAAACTGTCCCCATTTACAACCCAGGACTAATGAGTATACCAGACTTTCCCTATGAGTATGAGTCATTTAATGCTGCAGGTTGGTAATAAAGAAATAAGTTTCTTCAATATGTAAGATTTAACTTGAAGATACATTTTCTGGCATTTGCCAGAAATTTTCTCTGCAAGACCAAAATGTCCCTCTGCAAAAAGATAGCAAGCTTTGCTCAAAGCCTGCCAGGCACAGAGCAGTGAATTTATAACTAATCCTAAAGGCCACAGAACAGCACTCCCAAGAAAGAGGTTTTCTCCTGCTATATAGAGAATGCCTGCTGCCTCTGGGGTCCTTACTGCCTTTCATCGCATAGTCTCCCTGCAAGGTGTGTGAAGATGTTGTTATGATGTTATTTATTCGGCAGGATTGTTAAGACATTCTTTTGCTTTGTTCTTCGAAGACTTTGTGGATGGCTAAGGAATTAAGTCCAACGGGATGGACAGGAAGCTGGTGGGAAGTGGCAGCTGCACCACAGGATCCTGCGGCAGAGCTAATGGAGGCAAATGAGAAAAGGTACACCCTCAGCCGCAGTATCTGGGTGCAGACAAAACGAGCAGCATTCGCCTGGTGACTGGCGTTCCCCGGCCCACCCTTGTGTGCTCGGGTCTCTGCAGGCCACCCCAACATACCCACATGTGCCATGGAGGAGCCGGCGTCTATCCAGCCTCCACGACTCTGCTCCCTTCGCTCCATAACCGGGATCCTCACGGGCACTCTTGAGCCTCTGGCCTCACTCACATTGTGCTCTCAGGTTACCTGGCAGCTGCTGCCTCCGCGCCGGTGTAATCTGGGTGTACGAACCCAGTGATGGGCCCCGTGGTCATCAGAAGGTGGGAGTGCCTGGTGGATGGTGCTGTACAGAAGAGAGTTGCCTCCACAGCCCATCTTGTGAGTAGCTGGCCCAGGTTAAAACGT